AATACACGATTGTGGTGACCAGTGTATTTATTTTAATACATTCATATTAGGCCTTCAAGGCCTATGATCATAAGAATTCACTAATAAAGGCATAAAACTCACAAAACCTGATCCTCTATCGACCAATAGACAGAGCCGATAAGGTTCAATCCAAACACCCCGATGATGACCTTGTTGAATGCTAATATCAACCGGAGTGGTACATTCCATGTATTTCAAAATACCACTCCAAATACCTGAAAATCCAAATTTCCAAAAAATCATCAAAATCCAAAAATATTTAAAATTAAAATAAATCCATCAACACTTAAAGAAAAATCCATCCACCCTCCGCAACAATTTGCCGAGGTGGACAAATCAAAATTTACTTCAGGTCACAAAGAGCTAAATGCCTAGTCAAAAATATTACTATGATCAATTCTCAAATAATCTCTTGCCAGTAAGGACGTGGTACGTGTCCTCTAAGGTACCTCTACAAGGTCCCCTTGAACGAAGCAACCCATGGCTGCCGACAAGGATCCTTCTGTTAGGTTGGGTCGACTACCTCCTCTGACTAATTAGACCAGGGACCACGATGGCCCGGGATGACGGAACCATGGGATCTTGATCGGGTCTATCATCCATTCCCCCACCATCCGCTTTAAGTGCAAGATGGTGAAGTTTCTATTTTAAATATCAAATTTTTCAATCTCCAAATTTTCTAAACTTCCTAAATATTTCAACCCCAATTTCTCAAATATCCAATCTTTCCAATCCAAACCCATTGCTACTACTATATGCCAGATAACAAATATAGAGGAGAGTGTTACTCTCCCAGACCGTGTTATATCTCTAACTTTGAAAATGGCTTCAAGGGGAATTGCAATTCTGGTCAATTAGGTCATGTTAACCTTTTTTATATCTAGTTATACTTTCAACCTCTTTATGACAAGAGGTGTGATTTGCTCAGTTGATCCATACATGGTTTGAGGGCTAGCATTGACCTCTTTCATTTTACTTGCCAAGGGGGCACTCTCCCTATTATTAGTCTTCTCAACTTTTATAAGTTGACTCTTTATCTTCCTTACTTGTTTTATATTAGACATCATTAGCTTGGTAGAACCCATTCGGCCATACTTGTATGGCATAATGGTTCAACTGAAATGTTCAAATGGGTGAAGAGATCCAATGAAGGATTGCTTGTTAGAAGTGCCAGTTGTGAGTGATGTTAAATTACTATCATTATGAAGAATCTACGAAATCATCAAAGCTAAAATAAATTAGGATAGTAAGTTTTTGTGTATGTTTCTACATTTTTTGTAGCACTATTGATACTCACTATTAATTCACTTGTCCTTTTCATTGATCTTCTTCTAACTAGTCAAGTGAATCATGAAGCTAAATGTACATTGGCATATGCCTTCTCAAATATTCAACCCTTTAGTCAGTGGGTGATAGCTAGTAAACTCGTATTTCATAGATGCCACAAAGAGAAGCCTAAAGTTTATTGATACCTAACTCAATGGAATACTTAGAGGAGGGTCCTCTCAAAAGAGCAGGCAAGGTTTCTAGTGGAGCACTTAACTCATCATTTTCCCATTAACAAGAATTAGCCATCAAAGGCACCATTCGTTTCTATCCATGGTGGATAATTTCCAACCAAGCTCATCATCTTAGCTATAAGAAAATATCTTTTCAAGATAGTTCCAACTCATCCCATCATAGTCATTGGACTATGGAGCCTACGATCTCCACAGCTCAAGCAGACTTGCCTCCCATTTAGAAGCAATCTAGAGCTCCAACAAAGGTTACCAATGAGTTTTGAATGCTCACCAATCACAACCCTCTTAGCTCAACATTTGCTAGTGGTCATACCTACTCCTACTTAACCATAGCTCTACGGAACTCGCCCCAATATAGAGAAATAAGATTGAGAGAAGCAACATCCATTTAGTTAGTCATGTTGTGACTGTGTCTAAGTAGTCTATATTAAGAATCATTAATTCCTATATCATTTATTGATATAAGCTTTTCTTTAACCCTCGATTCCTAAAAATATTTGCTGAAGAGGAATATTTTGGATCTTTTAGCACTTTTACTATAGATACTTGTGCCAGTATATTATTTCCTACAGAGTTTTTCCCTCTCTTGCTCTTCATACTCACACAGGTTCTCAGTTTGTACCCCTAGTGTTTGCATTCTTGTAAAGTCGGTTGTCACTCACATACGAACTTAAATTCTACAATAGTTATTTAAGTTTCTTTTATCATTAATTTTTGTGTGCATATGATAATTGCGTAATTCAGTGGTAAGTAAGTAGTATATCAATACAAATAATTTATTTTCTTACCCACACATTAAATTCAAAGATAGGGTTGGTGTGACTTATTCTATGGGAATTTTGAAATTATTTTTCTTTCAATGATAATGGAGTTGATCATTAATATCACATATGGGAGAATGGAAGTTTTGATAATTTTTTGGAAAAATGTTTTTTTTTCAAGGTGTTATTCCTTCTTCTCTCAGGCTCTTTTCATGTTGGATCAGCATTTTTCTATTGTTGACAACCAACTTATCTAAAGAGACTCGCCACATGATTTGTTTGAAACCTTTTTTCTGTTAATTCTGAGATTTGGATGGCATCATTGGAGGTGTGCTTTATCAAAAGCTTTTGATGTATCTTTACCAAATGAAACCTAAAATTTCATTTGTGACAGTTTTTTTTATTGCTTGTTAAAGAAAAATTTTAGTACAACAAAACTCTTAAACAAATTTTTTTTTTACTAAAAATTCACTTTAAAACTATAAAAAAGCTGTCTCAAACATAGTCTTAGTTATTACGTGGGAATACCGTCAAGAAATCACATCTCATCGGCGCTTCAAAAGATGCTGGATTATACTTATCATATTAACGTTTTGTCTCATATTGTAAAATTTATTAATATCTTGAGTCCTTCCCTAGCCTTACTAAAAATAGATATCTATAACTTCTCCGATATTTTCTTTGAATTATTCTTTTGGGAAAATTTCTTTGAATTATTTCATTTCATTCCTCTGGTACATAGAAGATTACAAATAATCTTATATGAGGGACATTTAGGTGCTAAGTACTTTGGATTTTTTTTTTGGACATTTAGGCTATTTAAGGCAAACTCACACACACAACGCATACACAAAGACTCGAACCCAGACATCTTAGTTGGAAGCATAAGATCTCAACCAACAATCCAAGGTGAGCTGTGTTGGGACAGCTTTTTTACTCTTTCTTAAAGCTACTTTTGAATTAAAAAATTTTAACTTTTGTACTAGAAAGTTATTTTAAGAAGCAACAAGAAAGTCGTCCCAAACGAAACCTAAAATTAGCGGCAAAGTTGGGGGTCGATGGCTAGTGGCTAGCGGTGGTGGTGGAGCATACAAAACTGCAGTTTGGTAGCTGCTAGCCGTGGCAGTGGGGATGGGCGCAAGTGTATTAAAAAATAAAAGAGGCTGCATAGAGTAATTATTAATATTCTTCTAGATTTTTTAATTATATCTTGTAAGATGATAACCAAAAAAACTATTTATTTTTAACTTATATTAAAAAATTTCTGACCATACAAATGATTAGAATTGTCTCGTATATGAAGGAATCAATTGCATTCTAAGTAATATGTAATTTAAAAAATATATGGGAATCTTATTTTTATTGGGTTATCCATCCATTGAATACTATATAGGAAGGTCCAGTACGATAGAGCTACAGACTTGTTCAAAATCTTCCAGTTTGAAACACTCATAGCAGTGGCTGTGATCTCATGGATTTCCTTCTTTTTGCTATCTTCATCTTTATGGTAAACTACTCGTTCTTCAAAGAATAAGAGATCAGCCATATGTAATTAATCTAATTAGTCAAATGTGTATTTAATTAATAAGCACTAAAATTTACAGAGATTAGTTGATGAGTAATTTGATGTGCTTATTTTCTTTATTGAGTAGTTGCTAGTAAGTTATTTTTTCTTAATTGTTCCAGCTCACAAGTTCTCATGCAGCGGTACGGGAATCAACTTCTGCCCAAACTTATTGGCAAACTATTCTTCCACAAACTCCCATCCCTGCTAGCATACAGGAGCTACTGCGCAGTGGTCCTCTCTCTCTCTCTCTCTCTCTCTCTCTCTCTCTCTCTCGATTTTCTTAATTACAAGTATTACATTAATTGTTCTAAAATATTGTAAGAGGGATTTGTTGTATATTGTTAATTTAGGAGTTATGATATTATTTTACCAGACTATTATCATAGTTATTTAGAAAGTTACGTAATAAGTCCAATTTATGGTAATGCTCCAAACAGTATGTATGATCATGTTCTTTGTTTTACACTATGATGTAGCACAGGCACTGCGACATAGACACGAATACGGACACGTCAATTTCTGAAAATATAAGACACAAACATGAATTGGACACGATATTATAATTTTTATATTTTAAAATAGTGTATAAGAATGAATAAGTATAATATTAAAAATAATTTAGAAATATTAAGTGATTTAACTATAATTTGTGCTTAAAAAGATTAATATTAGGATGTCGAGAGTCGAACGTCGATGCAATATATCAGGCATCAAGAGAGGAGTCGACAATGATGTTGAGAATGGGCATTGATGTTATGCAGTAAGTATCGGGCGTCAATGTTAAGAGGGCGTCTGTATATGATGTTGAGAGGGCGTTGCTCTTTAGCGTGTCCGACACATATTGGAGGAGTGTCGGACTCGTGTTGTGTTGGATATATATCAAATCACTGCAAGCCTCGTTGAGGAGAAGTCAGTGCACCATAGATTTTACACAATCAATAATATTTTCTTTGAACACAAATTAAATTAGGATAGATTACAATCATTAAATTCATTTTACTAATCTAAAAAAAAAATCAATAAATTTCAAATTTATCATGACATAATTTGTATTTGATCCAGACAATTTATTTCATCTTCCTTTGTAATTTATAGAGAAGGAAGTGAAATCATTTGAGCTAGAAAGAACCCCAACTTTTTTCGTCAGCTACAAATGCGCAACCAATGAGAAGACAATCCATAATGACCCCAACGCTCCACTCTTCTTCCTGAAAGACAGCCTCAACCTAGGCACAAAGATGACGCTCGACCTCACCAAGTCTATCTCAGCCCCGCCTTTCCTCTCAGTTGAGATGGCCAATGCCACGCCCTTCTCATCCACCAAAGTAACCGAAATCCTCAGCCTCTTCAGCATCAAGCATGGCTCGGCGGAGGACATAGCCATCCAACGAACCTTGGCAGAGTGTGAGGAGCTTCCGCTCGATGGTGAGAGAAAGAGTTGCGTCAGGTCAATGGAAGCCATGGTGGATTTTGTCGAGGCTGAGTTGGGCAATAGGGATGTTCAGGTCTTTGAGACAGCTATGGCAGATGTTGGTGATCCGGTGGTGGCGGAGCAGGAATATATGATCGGACAGAAAGAAGTGAAGCACATAGTGAGTTTTAAGAAGAGTCGTATTTCTACATAGAATTTTTTAAAACATAAAACTTTGCTCAATTTTATTTTTAGGAAGCAAAGGCATTGGTGTCTTGTCATCCAGAGCCATACCCGAGAGCAGTATATTATTGTCACACGGCAAAGAACATTGAAGCATATGCGGTGCATCTATATGGGGCAAATGGAGCGGCAGTGGACGCTGTAGCGACGTGCCATACAGACACCTCAGCGTGGGATCCAAATTATGTAGGCTTTAAGATGCTGAAGGTGAAGCCAAGAACTGAACCAATTTGCCATTTTCTACCTCAAGGCCATCTTATCTTTGCTGGGCTATCAAAGATGGATATTTCTGCATTCTAGTAGTCATCTTCTATATCAATAATTTTTATATTCAATGTCTGTTTTTCCATGTCTAGTATGATGGCTTCTACTAATGAAGCTATTATGTGAGATGTGTTGGTGGCATGTGTTGCATAATGATGCATATGCATGCATGTTTCTATGAGAAATGTCACCTTGTATTATGTGCTTTGTTGCGTTCGTTTATTTTGTATTATGAAAAACAAGTGTTCATAAAATAACTGGTACCACCTCTCTCCTCACCCTGAGCGCCGCCTGTACGATTAAGGGTTTCCTTTGGTTTCGAGTGATTTTGCGTTCGATCCAGCCATTTTTTTTGCCTAGATCTCTCTGGTGTTAGTGTTTGGTGGCTTTTTTCTTTCCTCTGCCCTTTTGGGCTGCCGGGATGGCTGTGGTTCCGCCTTCCAACTCGTGGGGGAAGGTTTTGGTCCCGATTCAAGGCTTAAACAGGGGGTTCTTTTTCTTAGATGGAGATAGTGCTGCAGCTTTGCCTTCTCGCTCTTTTAAAGACGTTCTTTCTGCAGATCCGATGGCAGGTGAAAAAATCCCTAACTTAACTCAATCGACTTTTAACGGTATCCCGGCTGTTCTTCTTTCGGATGAAGATGTTCTTAAACTTGAATCTCCGTTTCAATTCACACTGGTGGGAAAGTTCGGTTTGCGTAGACCTTATCTTGACTCTATTCACAGTTTTTTCGATAATCTGAAATTATCTGGTTTCTTTTTCGTCGATTTAATGGATTCTCGCCATGTAGCTATTCAGCTCTTTAATGATTTAGATTATAGTAGAGTTTTTGCTTGGATAGCTTATTTTAAATTGTCAAATGCGTGTTCTCAAATGGACCCCTTTTTTTGATGTTAAAGAGGAATCACCAATTGTGCCGATTTAGATCTCCTTTCCGAACTTAAGATTACATTTCTTTATTCCCAAAGTTTTGCATGCGCTTGGTTTGATTTTTGGTCGGCCGTTTCAAACTGATCAGGCTACGGCTGCTAGAACTCGGCCTTCGGTTGCTAGGATTCTGGTGGAAGTGGATATATAAAAAAAACATCCTAAGGAGATTTGGGTAGGGTCAAAGGCTTTTGGCTATCTTCAAAAAGTCGAATTCAAAAAAATCCTGGACTTTTGTCAACACTGTAAGATCCATGGTCATTCTGTTACTGACTATTACAAGCTTCACCCGAATCTTAAAAAAAAAATAATGTTCAAAATAAGGAAGACAATGTTTCCATAGTGAATCCTGAGGAGAATTTTCCTAATATTGAAAAAAGTCCTTCGATTTTAGCTAAGAATTTTAACATGATACCCGAGACGGATGGCCCTGTTACTATTGAGAATCCGAAAAATAAAGTTTCTGTGTTAGAAAATATAAATGAAGATAATGAAGTGGTTTCTAATGTTAGTGTGAAGGATCCTAATATATATGTTTCAATAAATTCTATGCTTAATTTATCTAAAGATATGTTTGATAATGTGCCTAAGCAGGTGGTTGACTTATCGAATGAGAATGATATTACTGAAAAAGAGGGATGTGAGGAAGGGGAATTTATCCCTAACCTGAACACAGAGATGGATTTGTATAATGTGGATGGTATAAATAAGGAGGATAAAGAGGAAACTTTAGCAGCTAATGGTGCTGGTAAGTCCTCTTTCTTTGAGGAAGATGGTGAATTCACGAAGGTGGGAAGGAAAAAGGGTAAGAATATCTTACCTTCGACGCCTCATTCTACCAGAGCTAAAACTTCTTCAAAACCTGGTAATGGTTAACGTACTTATCAGGAACATAAGAGGTATTGGAGGTAAACACTCTTTTATTAGAGTTAAAAATTTGTGTAGGATTTATAATACTCAGCTTCTTATTTTACTAGAGCCGTTTATAGCTAAAGATAAAATTTCTATTACTGCCAAAAATTTTCTTGCTTACTTTGCAAACTGCTCTAACAAAATTTGGATATTTTGGAAAATTTTGGTTGATTTAAATATTCTTGATGACTTTCATCAAGTAGTTAATGTTCATATCTCTCTTTTAATTTTAGTTGCAAAGCATCCTTTGTTTATGCTGCTAGTACTAGAATAGGTCGTGCTGATTTGTGGGATAAGTTAAATAATTTTGCTATTAATTCCAATATGCCGTGGTTGGTTGGGGGAGATTTCAATATTATTAGCAATATGAATGAGAGAAGTGGTGGCCGGCCTCCTAATATTAATGCCATGGATGATTTTAACTCCATGATTAATAATTGTCATTTAAATTACCTTCATTTTTTTGGTAACTCCTTCACTTGGAATAGAGCAAACCTTTGGCAAAGACTTGACAGATTATTATTTAATAATGAATGGCTGAATAGTTTCCCGTTAACTCATGTGGAACACTTAAGTAGATCTACCTCTGACCATGCTCCCTTACTTTTATGTATTAATGCTAATCGTAATACTACTCCTTCTACTTATCTTTTTCAGAACATGTGGTTATCTCATAAAGATTTTAGCAATGTTATTGATTTTAATTGGTCGGCCCCTATTGCTCCGAACAATGAAATCTTTGGTATGCATAGACTGTGGGCTAAATTGAGCAGGCTGAAGCAAGTTTTAAGGTGGTGGAATAAGAATGTTTTTAAGAACATTTTTGCTAACAAGGAGCCGACAAGGAGGTGATGGAGTTAGAGAAAAGGTGTATGGATAATCCGATTAATGATAATAGTTATGCTCTTAATGATGCTAAGAATAACTTGGCTATTTTGCAAGAACAAGAGGAAACTTATTGGAAGCAAAAAGTTGCTTCTAAATTGATTGTCGAGGGGGTGGAAATACTAAGTTTTTTCATACGTTAGCTAACAAGAAAAGAGTCCAAAATCGTATTTTTAAAATCATGGGAGAAGGTGGTGTTGTTTTCGACAAAGAGCAGGATATCTTTGTTTCTGGTGTTGATTATTTCAAGCATATTTTCAATAAGGATACTATTACTACTCCTATTACTAATCCTTTCATTGTTCCTAAGTGCATTAGTGATACTGATAATGAAATGTTAATTAAGCCTCCGTCTGAGGAGGAAGTGTGGAATACCGTTAAAGATATGATTAACGATTCTACTGCGGATCCAGATGGTTTTACCACTAAATTTTTTGTGCATTCGTGGAATATTATCAAGTTTGATGTTTTAGAAGCAGTTAAAGATTTTTTTAATGGTTCCCCTTATCCGAAGTTCTTTTCTGCTATGAATATTGTTTTAATTCCTAAAAAGTTGGGGGCTAACATGTAGAATGATTTCGGTCCTATAAGTCTTTGCTCTTTCTTTAATAAACTGGTTTTTAAAATTTTTGCCACTAGACTTGTTGACATTTTACCGAGAATTATTTCTATCAATCAAACACATTTTGTGAAAGGTAGAAGTATTTTTGATAATATTCTTCTTGTGCAAGAGATGACTCTTGATATCAATTCCAAGGTTAAAGGTGGCAACATCATTTATAAACTTGATATTTCTAAAGCATACGATAATTTGAATTTGAATTTTCTTTATAAGATGTTATCCTTATTTGGTTTCTCTCAAGTTTTTTATCCAGTTGAATAAGAATAGTATTGAGAATTGTTTTTTTTTTCTGTCATTATTAATGGTGGTAAACATGGTTTTTTCAAATCTTCACAAGGTTTGAGACAAGGTGACCCCTTATCTCCGGCTTTGTTCATTATTGCTATGGACTATCTCTCTAGGGGTTTGGAGGAGTTATACAAAGGTCATAATTCTCTTTATTTTCATACCAAGGGTGGCTTGCCAGTGTCTCATCTTTGTTTTGCTGATGATTTTATTATTTTCTCTAATGGTGCCATCAACAATGTTAAACTTATGGCTCAATTTTTAATTAACTTTCAAAATATGAGTGGTTTGGAGATCAATAAAAATAAAAGCAATTTTTTGGTCTCTAGTGGTATTAGTCAAGGTAAGATTAATAATATTAAACGTATTTGTGGTTTTAATTGCTTGCCTTTACCTATCAAGTATTTAGGTACTCCTATTTTCAAAGGTAGAAAACGGAATCACATTTTTGAAGACATTATCTCTGCTTTTCAAAAGAAAATTTACAACTGGCATTCCAAGTTTCTCTCCTTTGGTGGTAGACTAGTTTTAATTAGAAGTGTGTTAAACTCTATTCCTATTTATATTTTTCATACTCTTAATCCTACTGTTTCGGTTTGTTTGAGGATGGAAAGGTTGATTAACAAGTTTTTTTGGGGTGCTAATTTTAATAGTAGTTGCATTTGTTGGTCTTTTTGGAATAAAGTTTGTGGGACTTTAAATGAAGGTGCCTTAGGGGGAAAATTTTTTTTGGACATGGTAAGAGATTTCTCTTACAATTTATGGTTTTCTTTTCGTTCTAATACTAGTCTATGGGCTAATTTCATGCATGCTAAATATTGTAAGGATAAGCCCAAAATCTGTTGCACTTACAAAAATTCTGATTCTGCAGTCTGGAAAAGACTTTGTAAAATTAAGTGGGAAGCTGATAGTTTGGTTCAATGGGGTCCTGGAAAAGGTGACATTTATTTTTGGCAAGACAACTGGTTAGGCTATGGTTCTATTGATTATCTGTTAAATACCTCTACTTTAACCATTACGAAGGTTTACAAGTTCTTTGAAAATGGCAAGTGGAATGAAAACAAACTCAGTGAATGTATTCCTTCGAGCATTATCTCTATTATTCTGGATTTGCCTTTACAATTACAGAGCAAATATAGTATTTTATTTAAACCCTCTCCTAATGGGAAGTTTAGTCTTAAAAATACTTGGGATAGTTTTCGTATCAAACATAGCCATTATGTTACTTATTCGGCTATCTGGCATAGAGAAACGTTGGATCATGTCTTTGTTAATGGTTTGATTGCTAAGAAAGTATGGCTTTATTTCATTAGCATAGCTCATAAAGATAGCATTATTATGCAAGATGGTATCTCTAAAATGCTAGATTTGTGGGTGATTAATTCTAAAGGCCATATTTATAATTTAC